TTCATGTTGTGACATCGCAACCGATGCTTACTGCGCGACATAATGTCACATGACATCGCAACCAATGCTTACTGGGCGACATAATGTCATGTTGTGACATTCAGTGTTCTCCCCAGGCCTCTGAAGCGACACGGTACCGTGACGCTTAAACACTCGGTCGTGATGCTTGCCCTTTGTCCGTGACGCTTGGTCACTCAGCCGTGATGCTTATATTTTTGTTTACAAGTTTCAGTCTCGTCTTGCACATATTTAAAACAATAACATGTATTGATCGATTTAGGTAATCCCGCTTTTGTTAGCCATACAAAGACAGTGATAAAAACGGAAGTCTGCAATATGTTGCGAAGTCTTTCAAAGGTGCAGAGCCTCCAAATCAAAAAAAAAATAACTAGAATAGCAATAATTTGCCCATTGCACGCAACGGCAACAATGTGACAAAACAAGTCACGGCGTACGTCGGGAAGATCAACCCCGATTTGCTGCACTCTGATTTGTTATCACTCAATCGCTGGTGACATTATTTACTCCAAAATTAATTCAACAGCAGACGAGACGGGATGAGACAAAACAAACTCTGACCTCTGGAAATACCCCATTCATAGGGTACCTTAGTACAGAAAAACGCCGCCCTAAGGCGACATAATGCACGTTGCAACATTGTGACCGATGCATGCTGGGCTGATCGAGGTAACAAAGATGGCGGCGCAGAATGCATGATTTTCCACGATGTTTAAAAACAACATCTCGTTGGCAATTTAGATGTAATGCTTATGATAATCATCAATGAATCGTTTTAATAAACAATTTGTGTATTTCACACCAAAAAGTCAGATACCGATGATCGCAATAGCAGCGGTGAATACCCGTCCAACGCAATGCTGTCAGCTGACAATGTTACGGTGATCGTAGCGTTGTACTCACAAGGTATATTGAAATGAAAAATCGCCGAACTGCCATTGTAGAATTTTTTTTTAATTATTGATTTATTAATTTCAACATATTTCGATATCTTGCCGACTTTATATATTTAACCAAAAAATGTTTTCCCCGACGTTTATATGAACCGACAGTGACATGGGCACTAAAACTTATACACAATGATGAACCAGTTACATCCATGGATAACAGTATATTCACTGACTGGCTATAACACAAGTTTTTCAATTTTTTTTTCCTTTTTATGATGTTCCATTTCAAACTTTATTTGACTTGATACAAAAACAAAAAATACAATGCAGTAAAATAATATAAAATTTATCAGATATAAAAATATCTTGTCTTTAATTAATTGTAGATTGACAATATTTGTTGGGAAAAACTGATTATTATGCAAATAAAAATTATGCAAATTAGATGCATTGTTATGCAAATTGGCCGTGATGCTTGACATGAAGTCTGGGGAGAACACTGGACATTGCAACCGATGCTTAATGGGGGACATAATGTCATGTAACATCACAACTGATGTTTACTGAGCGACATAATGTCATGTTGTGACATCGCAACCGATGCTTACTGGGGAACATAATGTCATGTTGTGACATTGCAACCGATGCTTAATGGGGGACATGTCATGTGACATTGCAATCGATGCTTACTGGGTGACATAATGTCATGTTGTGACCGATGTTTACTAGGTGACACCAGGGCCACATAATGTCATCCTGTGACCGATATTTACTGGGTGACACCAGGGCCACATAATGTCATGTTGTTACCGATGCTTACTAGGTGACACCAGGGCCACATAATGTCATGCTGTGACATCACAGCCGATGTTTACTAGGTGACACCATGGCCACATAATGTCATGCTGTGACATCACAACCGATGTTTACTGGGTGACATCAGGGCCACATAATGTCATGTTGTATCCAATGCTTACTTGGTGACAATTGAGGTAACCAAGATGACGGCGGACTAAAACTGACAAAATAATGATGAACCCTTTACCTTTATTCTATCTTAAAAAGCTGCCATTTTTGCTGCCGTTCTATTTCAAACTTGATTTTACTTGATTACAACTCCGATACCTAATAAAATACAATGAAGTAAATGATATAAAATATAAGATCGATTTTGGATGTGAAAAATATTTGCATTTAATTAAAGACAACAAGTTACGTTCTGCACTATGTCAGCTTAGAACATCATCCCACAACCTTCGGGTTGAATCTGATCGTAAACTAAACATACCGAGGAATATGAGAATCTGTAAATTATGTAATTTAGGGTTAGTTGAAGATGAATACCATTTTTGCCTTGTATGTCCACGTTATGTAAATCTTAGAAAAAAATATTTACCTATATTTTATCTGTCCAATCAGACTTACGAAAAATTTCTTAGTTTAATGCAGTTTGACAACTTATCTGTACTTCAAATTTCAAAATCTGTATTCAACGCTTCTAAACACAGAGACAATCTACTTAACCAGTTGTGACTAGTAGATTCAACAATTATTTAAAGGAATCCTTCTGTATGTATTTTTCTATTCTTTTTTTTTGATTTATTGTACCATAGGCCTGAGGCCATTGTACTGAATAAAATTCATATTCATTCATATAAAATATAACAGATTATCTTGTCTTTAATTAATTACAGATGGACTATAATTTTATTAAATAATAATAGTTATATTGACTTGTACAGCTACTACTCAAAACTACTCAATGAATTTCAATCAACTACTCAATGAATTTCAATCAACTACTCAATTAATTTTAATCAACTACTCAGTGAATTTCAATAAACTTGTCAATGAATTT